CCCTGGAAGGGCCCAAAGGAGGAATCAAGTTTCAGCCCCTCACCTCCTGGGCCTTACAGTGAGGCTAAGGTTGTAGGGTTTAGAGTCTGGGTTCAAATCCTGGTCCTTACCTGCTTAACTTCTTAACTACTTGGTTAATTTCTCTATGCCTCACTCTCCCCATTTGTAAACAATATGATGCAGTAAGGTGTTGGGGAGGGTCTGGGACACAGTAGGCTCGCAGACAGTTGCCTCATCTTTACGGGGTGTGTAGGGGGGGGATTCGAGCCAACTCCTACCTCTCCGGGAAACCCCAGCACCTACGGATTCGGGGCTTTTCCCAGTACCCTAAAGGCCTTTCCCCACTGAGAATTACCCATTCTTTGGACCTCCAGGGTGTCACCCCTCCCCCAGGCCCATTAAGTGTTGAAAGGGGTCGGAAAAAGACAATGTCGGGAGAAGACAGGGCTTCCTCAGCTTCCCACCCCACCATTGTTGACTATGCACTTAACGCTTTCTTACCTGACCTGGGCACAGGAACCAACCCTGAGCAACCCACTCTCCTGCGCGCAAGCCCAGATGGGTCGCAGCCTCCCTCGGCTTGGGGAGCTCCAGAGCTTTGACTCGTGGCTGTTGTGCCCATCCCCACTCCCAATCACGAGCCGGGGCAGGCCCCCTTCTTCTCCCCAGCCGTTCCCGGACTCGAGCGCTTCCCTCCCTCTACTGCTCCCAGCTGTGGCCCAAACTACTTTAGACCTCAAGGGGACAGACCAGTCCCCTCCCCTAGCGGCTGTGGCGGGGTCTAGAGGGTATTAGGTGGGAGGCTTGAGAGGGCGCCAAGCGGGGAGCTGAGGCTGGCAGCCTGAGTCTCTAGATCTCCGACCAGCGGGCCACCTTCGGGGCTGCTCAGCCTCCGGGCGTCGCAGGGAGGCGCGGGGAGCGAGGGCGGGGCTCCCAGGCAGAGGTCCAGGAGGCAGGAGCGCCCAGGACTGCCTCGGCGGCGCGGAGCGCCGTTCCCTTACTTCGTGGGCTCCGCGACAGCCACGTCCATCCAGCCGCCCCAACGTGCCCGCTAGGAGCCTCGGATGCCCGCGAGTACCAGAGCGGGGCACTTGGCTGGAAGTCCCGAACGGGCTGCCATGGGAGGTGTGGGGCGCTGAGGTCCCTGCCTGGCAATTTATATCCAACTCGCCGCCATCCTGGAGCAAGGGGAGGATGTAGGAGGGGCTGGGGATCGGCCAACTCCCCGGGGGCCCGGGGAGCGGGGGGCCAGCGTCCAGTGCTTACCTGCGCAGAGTTCGTGGCTCAGAGTCTGCCCCGGCACAAGTGATGTAGGGTCCTTCCGCTGGCCTGCGGGCGCGAAGTGGCTGGAGCTCAGCGCTCTTCTGTCCTTCTCTTTGGAGAATGTATGCATTTAATACTTGTATAATTTTAAACAAACACGCTCACACAGAGATGTATATACATGTATACACACCTACTTATATACCAATGAAAGTAAATACGGTGAAATATTAACAGTTAATTATGGATAGTGGGAATAGAGGTATTTTGTGATTTTTTTGTATTTTAAGTATTTTAATTTTCTCAAAAGCTAATATTAGCGATAATATACATATGTGCAGATGTATATATAGTACTATTCTACTGTTCTCAGCCTTTTATTTATTTAACTCATTTAATCCTCCTAACAAGTCTATGAAGCAGTAACCATTGTCTACAATCTCCTTTTACATGTGAGAAAACCGAGGCACAGAAGGCTTAAGAGACTTGCCCCAAATCACACGGCCTTTAAGGGGCAGAGGCAGAAACCAATCCCCGGCAGTTATGTCCAGGGCTGCCCCTTGCTTTTGGCAAAAGAAGGGATGAAGTAGCAAGTAGCTTAAAGGGGAAGCAGAAGCCACAGAGTGCTTTCAGGATGGAGTGTGAACTCCCTTACGGGCTGAGTGGGAGAAACAAGCGGAGGGGGAGAAGAAGACACGGGAAAGCCTGGGGACATGTAATAGATGAGACACTATCCAGACCACAGGTGCTAGCTTTGCCATGCACAGGAGGAGGAGCAGGACGCCTGGTTTGCCATGAGGAAGGTGGAAAGGAGGCTGTTTATGGTGTGGAGGAGGATGACCTTGCTCTTCTGGGACATGGAGGGCAAGGTCACCAGCAAGGAGGCTGAGAGGTGGCAGGCACGCTGCAACCCAACCAGGTGGTAGCCCGAGGTGCCTAGTGTCCCCACAGGAGACTGGTGGCGGGGCACCGGGGGGGTCCTCCCAGGGAGATGGGCAAGGAAAGAACCAGAGGCTGGCTGGCTGGTGACTCTGTCCTCTGTCTTCTTTTACTCAAAATGATACTGTTCTGTTGATGCACAGACCCCAGGAACCAGAAAATTCCCCACCTGCAAGTGGGTCAGGGGTTCAGGCAATGATCCGGGAGCATGAGGTCCTTCAGAGCAAAGAGCAAAGCACCCTAGTAACTGGAAAGCAAATCTGTTGTCTGTTCCCACTGGACACAGACTGAATAGTCACAGGCTCCTCCTCCTCCTCCCCTCCAGTGTGTGTGTGTGTGTGTGTGTGTGTGTGTGTGTGTGTGTGTGAGAGAGAGAGAGAGAGAGAGAGAGAGGATGAGAGCATGAGTCTGTGTGCTTGCCAAGCCAGCGGCCCCTCCTGTGGACTGGTTTGCCTCTTACCTGCAGAAGCCTTTGTGATACCCTTCTCAGAAGCACCTGCATGAAGCTTCTCTGGCTGCCAGAACAGGGAGCCCCAAGCAAACAGGCCTGTCTGCAGGGCTTGTCCGGCCCTTCCAGGAATCCAGGGGACTCTCAGGTCTTCCTCATCTGTCAAGGTGTGTCCTTTTCTAGGCTCTTTTTGACAATGAAATGAAGTCACCCATATCTGCTCTGCACCTGTCTGTCTGTTTCGGTGGGGCGCAGCGGGGGGAGGGGTGGATACTTTTGTCAATGACCCAGAATCTACTAGCTAGGCTGGCTTTGGGATTCTTTGAATGGCCTGTCTTCTGTGGTCACAGGTAAGAAAGGTGCCCCCCTAGACTTGTGTTGTGGACATTGTGGGTGTGGGGATACCGTGGGGGTGAGAACATTGTAGGGGCAAGGTCAAAGGGATACTAGCAGACTAACAGCATCTGGGTACTTAGGAGCGGGGTGTGTCAGAACGTGGGAAGTTGCCTGCTCCTAGAAAAATTTTAGTCTTCTGGTTGTCCCTGCCAGGGCTGTTCAGGGCACAATGACAGTCAATCTCTCCCCCTGGTGAATGTAGCTTAGTTTCAGATGTTGTCACTTCACTATTTTGAATCTGCTTTGATGTCGTTATTACTACTGTTCCTTCTTTTGTCATTTGTTGATCCGTTCAGTAAATACTCTATCTCCTTTAATAATGACTAACAGACATCAGTGGTATTCACTGACTTCAAAGGTGGCAAATTCTTCATTGCTGGGGTTCTTCTGAGGCTGGAATTTGTTGAGGGGATTCCCAGGTCAGCTGTTGTGGTAATCCCGATGACCTTAAAGATTCACACAACCTTGAGATGTTAAGTTTCTGCAATTGATTGATTTATTGGGCAGAGCAGATATAAAAGCTATGAATATGCTCTCACTTCCCTAAGCACTTTTAGTGAAATTATGTGGAAGAAGAAACAGTATCATTTGCTTTAATCAACGGGCTTTCTTTGGGGTATTCATGGTTGTGGGAGAGGTGGAGCTCCCATGCTGGGGGTGCCGGGGTGTCAATGGCAAGGAGTGGCTAGGTGGGATCTGAACAGGCTTTCTAGAGAAGTCGGTGCTTGTGAGAAGAATAGAATGTGCCCAGTGGGTGAGAAATTGAAAGCCAGCTGCGGTAGGGAGGTGGACAGAGAAGCAGCCCCAATAACCTTGACTTCAACGGGACCAGGATTCAAGAGGGGGGAGAGAAAGGCTGCAATGAATTGGAGTGGGAGGGGAGTGGTCTGCACACCCTCGAACAGCAGCAACGACACCAGCTCAATAGGGAGGCAGGTGTCTCAGCTCTTCACTTATGCAATATTTTTGTGTTGGTTTCTCTGTGCACCCCATTCACCCCTACCCCCTTTACAAACAGGGACATCCCCCCACAGCCGCCTCTCTCCCAAGCCTGCCAATCCAGCCACCTCCAGGATCAAGGGGTTAAGGGCTCCTTCTCTTTTAAGGTCTTTCTGATGAGCGGTAGAAGGTTACTCTGATTAGTGTCAATTACCTGGAACAATTTCTCCTTTGGTTTCCAGAGACAAATTAATGAAATTATTATACTGAACTAATTACAAGGGATGTAAATTTGAGGCATCTAGCAGGGATATGTCTTCTAGGGCTGACTGAGTCTCATTTGCACATTCTTCCAGAGGGTCCCAGATTCCTCTTCATGGATCTTTATATGATGCAATTTTAACATGCCTGGATTTCTTTCTTTTCCCCCTTTATTCTCACTAATGGGGAGAAAAATCTTTCTTTTATTTAACGCACTTGGTTGAAAGGTGAAACAAATCATAGCCTTGAGGTCTGTGGCTGTTATCTTGGTTGGAAAGAGGAGTGAGTGAATTTTCCCATAAAAGAACCTTGGATCTAGGTGAATCTGGTGCTTTCACCATTAGGCTATCATAAATAACACCCAAGTTCTCCTTTTGGCCACCCTTTTCCGTACATTTATTCTCATTTTACACAAGCAACCCTGAGGCCAGAAAAATGGGGACTTTGGTACCGTCTTGCGCCCTCTTTTGCCCATCGGTCAGGGCTTATCTTAGGGTAGAGTAGCTCGCTTGGTGCGCCTGTGTGGAGTGGGCAGCGCAAAGGCGCGCCGGTATCAAGGACGCAGGCCCCAAGACCCTCTCCGGGCTTGCTCAGGTGTGGCAGTGAGAGGGAGCCGTGTGGAATCCAGCCGGAGCTCCGCCACAGCAGCAACTTGAGGCCCTGCTGGGAAGCAAGTCAAGGGTCAGCCCACAGCAGAGCCCTGGCCTGACCTCCTTCTGATGTTCGGCAGCAACCAGACCTGCCCTCTAAAGCCATGGGCCTCTCCCAGCCTGCACTCCCGCCCAGGACAAAGCTTGGCCTGTGGCAGTTCCTTCTGATCCCAGCAGGTGAGTGAATGTCATCCCTAGGACATCGTGTCACACCTGTTAGCTCACACGCTGTGGAGGAAACCCCTGCAGCCAGGCCCCTGGCACCCACCAAAGCTGCAGGATACTTCAGGTAGCTCATTCCACGGTGAGACGGGGTCAGGGCGCGCACAGCTCTGGCGCCAGCGGCGGCATCACCTTGCACCTGCCCTGGCCTCAGCGTTCCTCATCTGTAAATGCCAATCGTGCTGTGAGCCTCCCAGGTCTATTGTAGGAGCATATGAATATTGTAGGAGCAAACCCTTTTGTGACCGGCACCTGGAATACAGTAGGTACTCAGTACACAGCAACTATTGCTCTTGATGGGCTTTTCTGGATTTCAAACCAGTAGTCTCCACTTGCTAACGCCCCAAAACCCTAGGAGGTGAAGATGTTCGCAGAACGGACATAAGCAGTTCCCTCAGACAATTTGGGGCCATTTTTCCTAGCTCCTCAGTTCTAGGCGGAATCTCGTCTCCAGGTCGCACTTCGTCCCCACTCCTCTGCCTTGGCACCCTCCTCGGCACTTATTTCCACGCCTTTTTAGCAAATAGTCACAGAGCAATGGACAGTTCCGGAGCTCCCACCATGTGCTGGTTGCTTTGTTAGGTTCTCATTTACGTTATTATGTTTAATCCTCAACGGTGTAGTGAGATAGGTTCTGGATAGTGTCCCCACTTTACAGATGAAGAAACTGAGGCTCGGTGAGGCTGAGTGGCTTTGATGGGAGAGGGAGCTGAGCACCCACCACCATGAGCTCCCAGAGACCCCACTCTTCCTTCCTGTCCCCCAGTGTTGGCACAGCGGGCCCCCCACGCCCAAGCCGAGGATCGCCTCTTCAAACACCTCTTCAGGGGCTACAACCGCTGGGCAAGGCCAGTGCCCAACACCTCGGATGTGGTCATCGTGCGCTTTGGGCTGTCTATCGCCCAGCTCATCGACGTGGTATGCCTATCCCACCACCTCTGAGCCCTCGAGATAAGCCCCCCGATTACGGGCCCTCTTCCCAGGGCCCTCCCTCCCTCCTCAGCTCCAGCCCTTCTCCTTCCGGCCCCCCAGCCCACCTCAATCAGAGCTTCCCTCCTCCCAGCCCTGGAGACCCTTCTGGGAGGACACCGATTTAGCAGAGGGTTTTCTAGATGCTTTGCTTGTTCCCCTGGACACAAGCCCGGAGGACCCAAGAGGCCCGTGGGACCCTAAAGGATCTGAGTCAGGGGTGGTTTCAGGAGGGGTGTTGGCTGGGCTGGGTTTGCTGTGTCATGGAAGAGGATCTTCTGGTGACTAAGGGGCTGGAATCAGCCTGTCCCATGTCACCCCGTCTTCTCGGGCTGGTTCGGTCACTCTAACTGCTCTTATCCTCTCTCTCGCCGCCTACTGGCCAGGATGAAAAGAACCAAATGATGACCACCAACGTCTGGCTAAAGCAGGTGAGCCCCCACCTCCCGCCACCCCTCCTGAAGGCAGAAGTAGGGCAATGCTTCTCCTCTTACATGCCTGCTTCCCCTCCCTCCTGGGTCCCTACCCAGGTTGATGCATTTGTGTAAATGTGACATGGCCATTCCTAGAGGGGAAAAGGTATTGTCGTGCAGGGGGACCTTTTCAAGGGTGTGACACTGCACTGTTTTAGCACAAATGCACAAGAACAAAATGGCCCCTGGACTTAGGGCAGGCCTAGAGTCGGGGAGGCCAGGGTTCAATCCCCAGGGCTGCCACTCACTAGCAGGACTCTGCCTCAGTTTCCTCACCCTCACTCATTGGATTGTTGTGAAGATTAGAAAAAATAATCTAAAGGGCCCCAGCAAAGCTGACTTTATCAATGGTAGTGGTTATTATTTTAATGATTATAAGCTCCTATGGCGCAAACGACAAGCTTGTGTGCCAACACCAGTCATTCTCTGTTGGGGGTAGTTGTTCCTTTTAAGTCTGAAAGGGACACAGGAAACCCCCTGGAAATGGGACCATACAGCTTTGGAGTTTTTTCATGGCTGGGATACTCTTTTATTAAGCATCTACCAAGGGCCTGGTGCCAGCAATGCAGATGGTGTCCTTGGCCTCACGGACCTTACAAAGGCATTAAATCAATCAATACGCACATCTGCATGTAGTCACCATTTGTGATAATGCCATAGAGGACATTTCAGAGAGTGAATAATACTAACCTGGTTTGAGGGAGAAAACAAATTGGCTTGCACCTGCTGGTGTAAGCCCTGCTGGGACTCCTAGGGGGCGCTCTGAAGCACAGTTTGCAAGTCGCTGGTTGACTCCCCTTTCAGCTGCCTATTCTGGCAGATTTTTACCTCTCTGGTCCTCAGTTTCCTTATCTGTTAAATGGGGAAATACTTGCACCTGCATGGCATTCCCTGCCCCACTCTCCCATTGAGGGTGCAAATAACTTTGTAAATTGTGATGCATTAAAAAAATGTTATCACACACGAGTGGGGTGGCTCCCCGGAGCCGTCAGCTGGGGAGCAGCAGAACGAAGGTTAGAGGCAGGACTAGGGTGACGTCGACTAAGTGTGCCCGAGACTCTAAGTACTGGAGCTGCGGCAAAGCCAGAGGGTTGGCCATGTTAGACCTGGCTCCTGATTCCCAGCTCAGAGCCCTTTCTCCTCCGTGGGACCGTGGAGCTGGATGGGCTCTGTGGTGACCCTGAACCCCGTGGCTAGGACGTCCCCAGGCTGCCCGTTTGCCCCAAGACCCTCTCCCTGTGCAGCACCAGACAACCTGACTCCCCTGCTCACACACAGGAGTGGAGAGACCACAAGCTGCACTGGAACCCGGCCGAGTTCGGCAACATCACATCCCTCCGAGTCCCTTCAGAGATGATCTGGATCCCGGACATTGTCCTCTACAACAAGTAGGAAGTCGCTGGAGTCCTGGGAAGGCTCCTGGGAGGAACCTGGGAGGGGTTTCTGGGTTGGACTTGGGAAGTCTCACCCTTGTTGCCTGCGGTCTCGCTTCCTGCTTTACCACTACCACCCACCCCACCCCGCCCCTTTCTCTTGATTCCTTTATTCCTTTCATTTTGTGCTCTTACGCATACACCCAAATTTATTGCGTACCTATTCTGTATCAGTGCCTGGTGCTGTGCTAATGAGACACAGATTTGCCAACACAATAATTTTAAAAACGTGGCTGGTGCAGACTGTGGAAACAGCACCTAAGGGCTGGAGTTTTGCAGGGTGGCAGTGTTGCTGGAGCAAGCTCACTTCGTGTGGGTGTTCCTAAAAACCATATTTCTTATGGTTGCCTTGCATTCAAGACCAGAAAGGACCAGTCTTTGAGTATAACGACTAGAAGCCAATAAAAGGCAGAGGAATCTAAAGAAAGCCCCAGCAGAACTGGGTGGGGGATAAGCGGGAGGGGGAAGGTAGGGTTTTTGGAGGGTTTTTTGATAGAAGAAATAGAGATCTATAATTTTATGTATGGTATTTGGTAGCAGGTAATTCTTTATTTAGAAGTCAAGCACTTAAAATTAAAAGATATTTGACCTTTTGTTCATCTAAAACATGTTCTAAAGTGGGGCTCTGTGGAATTCTTGGAGAATGAATAGATAGGAAAAATGGTCCTGTGGTCAAGTAATTCTGGATGCCATTGCGTGCCGCTGACCCTCTCGGCCTTTGGAAAATGTCAGTACACAACAGCATTTAAGCATTGTTAGAAGTTGTGCAGCCAAGAAACCCATTCAACCCACCATTTTTTTAAAAATACAACAAAGGGAAAATATCCACTTCTGGAGTTTCGGTGCCTCCAGTAAGTCAGAAGGGAACAACGATAGTTCCTTGTCCTGGGATCTCTTTCTTTATTTCCTGTAAAATATGATATAGTTCATTGAATCATAAGAAGTCTGGTTTAATTGTATTTTCTGTAGGATCTTCAAGTGTATTTTCCTTCTAGAACTAATGAGTTTTTGAATCTTTAGAGCCATTTCTATATATGCAGTCAGCAGGGGTTACCTGGCAGGTCTAACCTCACAGGTGCCTAGTGCCACCAGAGTCACAGACACCTCACCCCATATGTCTATGGCCCAGAGCAGGTACTCAAACTCCAGCTAGTTTCTGCTTCCTATGCATCTGGCAGAAGTCAAAAGCAAAGTGCTTAGCATCAGATGAGACCTGGAGTTTCAGGGTTACCAATAAGGCTTCAACCAAACCAAATCCTTACATCTGAAGAAGGGCCTCCTCCACCCAAACACTCCATTGCAGGTTTACAGGAAAATCGAGAACATTGCACTTTCCTTCCTCAAAACAGGGCCCATGTTGCCCTCTAGTGATAATTACATGTGACAACACAAATGCCTTTCAAAAACTTCTGCCCTGATCTGTTACTCTCTTTCAAAGTTTCTGCTGCCCAACTTTTCTTTAAAAGAGCCCCATTTTCCAGTCTCTAGCCTGGAACTACTCCATGGGAAATTAGCCTGTTCCTCGTATTCTCCTGGTTCTCGGGCCTTTAGGATCCACCTTGAGAACTGGAAAGGGAGGGATGGCTTGTTAAAGACTTCAGTGTGGAACACTGTGTCACCACCCCCCAAGGGGGATCAATGGCTCAAGCTCCCAGGAGGCCCTGCCTGACTGGTCACCCCTATTCAAGTGTCCCTAGAGCCCTTGTGGGCCCTTAGATGCGTAGCTCTGTGACGTAACAGGCCCTGCCCCTCTATTCTAGGCACATCCTGTGAATTTTGTCCTTCCCCTCCTCTGTTCTTTGCTCTGGAGGAAGCTCTGCTGGTACACTCCCCGCCTCACCTCTCCGCCAAATCCTCCCATTGGTCGAGGCCTTGCTCAAATGGCAGTTTTCATGGTGGCCCTGGTCACTCTAGCCAGAAGGGCACTTCCCTCCGAAGTTCTGAGGAGCTCAGTCAGCCCTCCGAGTGCTGTGTCACGCTGCCTCCCTTGTATGGTAGGGGCTCGGGACTGTGTTTCCTCTCCTCCTGGTTCTGTAGGGGCAGGCCGGCCTCATATGTGTCCCCTGCAGCTCCCAGGTAGGCTCTAGTGGACGAAGCTGGCTCAGGAATGCACGGGAAATGGGTGCGTCAAGAAATCACCTTCCTTTACTAGCAAAGATGTTGGGTCTCTTCTCAACAAGGCACTAGAGAAGGCACTAGAGAACCCAGGTGGAAAGACTTGACCCCAAGCTGAGAGGCCTTACCATTTGCTTGGGGCAGGAAATATACTCATAAATAATCACTACAAAATATCAAATGATCACAGATGTATATGTGATCTATGGGATAATCCAATATGCATGATGTAGATAACATCAAAATGCTAATCGTGGCTGGTTTTGACATTCTTGGAATATTTTTATATTCTTCAAAATTCCTACTTGTGTCATTAAAAAAATGGTGCTTGAAAAGGCAGCGTCAGTAGCTGTCAGTGTCAGTGTGCCGGAAGAGTCTCCCTCACCAGAGTAAGCCCCACAACTTAGACGGGCTTGGCTTTGTTACCGGACCCCCGCTGCCGGTTGTCTGGAGCAGCCTGGCTCAGGCAGGCGGGGTGTGCCAGGCCCTCCAGCTCCTCTCCTCTCCGCAGTGCCGATGGGGAGTTTGTGGTGAACCACATGACCAAGGCCCATGTCTTCTCCACGGGCACCGTGCACTGGGTGCCCCCGGCCATCTACAAGAGCTCCTGCAGCATCGACGTCACCTTCTTCCCCTTCGACCAGCAGAACTGCAAGATGAAGTTCGGCTCCTGGACGTACGACAAGACAAAGTTTGACCTGGAGCCGATGGAGGAGACGGTGGACCTGAAGGACTACTGGGAGAGTGGCGAGTGGGCCATTGTCAATGCCACGGGCACCTACAACAGCAAGAAATACGACTGCTGCGCCGAGATCTACCCTGACATCACCTACTACTTTGTCATCCGGCGCCTGCCGCTCTTCTACACCATCAACCTCATCATCCCCTGCCTGCTCATCTCCTGCCTGACGGTGCTCGTCTTCTACCTGCCCTCCGACTGCGGGGAGAAGATCACCCTGTGCATTTCTGTGCTGCTCTCGCTCACTGTCTTCCTCCTGCTCATCACCGAGATCATCCCCTCCACCTCCCTGGTCATCCCGCTCATCGGAGAATACCTGCTCTTCACCATGATCTTCGTCACCCTGTCCATCGTCATCACGGTCTTTGTCCTCAATGTCCACCACCGCTCCCCCAGCACCCACAATATGCCCCACTGGGTGCGGGTGGCCTTTCTCAGCTATGTGCCACGGTGGCTTCTGATGAAACGGCCTCTGCCACCCTTGGAGCTCCATGGCTCCCCAGATCTGAAACTCAGCTCCTCCTATCACTGGCTGGAGACCAACGTGGATGCGAAAGAGAGGGAGGAGGAAGAAGAGGAAGAAGAAGAGAGGTGGGTGTCATACCCTTCCACGGGTGTCCTCCACAGCCGTGCTGATCTGCACCAAGGGGCCTCAGGTCCCAAGGCAGAGGCCCAGTTGCAGAAGGGTGGGCTCCCACTGTCACATCACATGCAGAAGGCACTGGAAGGCGTGCACTATATTGCTGACCACCTGCGGTCTGAGGATGCCGACTCTTCGGTGAGTTGGAGCTCGGCTCTTCCCCTGGGTGACCCTATCAGCCTAGCAGGGAATCTCCTTACCCCAGGGTGTTCGGTGCAGCCAGCCCAGTCTCCTTTGTATGAGAACCCATCTCCCTCAGTCATGGCCCTTGGCAGTCTGGAATAAATAGTGGAGGAGAACGTCTAGCCAGCAACTCTTATGACATGAAGTGGCAGGTGGCAGACCAGCAGCCAAGAATGCCCCAGCTGCCCTGACCAGTGTGACTCGGTTGGAGCATCATCTTATAAACCGAACGGTCATGGGTTTGAACCCTGGTCAGGACACATGCCTAGGCTGCAGGTTCTGTCCCCAGTCAGGGTGTGTACAAGAGGCAACTGATTGATGGTGTTCTCTCACATCAATGTTTCTCTCCCTCTTTCTTCCCATCCTTTTTCCTCTCTCTAAAATCAATGAGCGTGTCCTCAGGTGAGGGTTTTAAAAAATTAAAAGAGGAAATAAAATAAAAAGAGAATGCCCCAGCTAAGCCTAACCAGGAGACAGTAAGACAGAGCTTCTCACGCCATCCTCACTGCCTTTTCTCCCCATTACCCTGTGGGTGGGGGAGGGGCAGAGGGACTCTGGGGGAGCATCATCAGGACAGACCACACATCAGGCTGCTGCAGTGGCAGCCCTCCTCCTTTGTCCTGGTGGTCTTCCTCGCCTCCTCCTCATTTGCGGGGCCTGGGTATTTTGTGAACTTCATGGTTCACACACAAACCCTGAGGAAGCTTGGCTGTACCAGGTGGCTCCCCTCCTTGGCCCCTACCTGCCCAGCGTTATTAGGTGAGCCGGTCACCACCCAGCATCACAGAATCCTTTTTAACAACTTAGGGAAGCGTGAAAGGCCGGGAGGTTATCACCAGGTAGCCTCGTTGAGTAGATAAGAAACATTGATCATTATTTAATCTGGGAGCAGCTAGGAGTTCTGACCCACTTGCCTGGGCTGTGAGCCTGAATCCTGCAAAGCACATCCCTCAACTCCTCCAACCTTCCATGAGCCCAACCTGCCCTCACCTACCTGCCTGTCCATCTCCTGGAGTGGACGGGTGAGTGGGGGGTGGGGAGGCAACGTGGGGCAGCAAGGTCTTCACCATTTTGTAAATGCTGGGTGGTGTGTTTAAACCACTGTAGGTCCCTGGGTGGTTCTAGAACCTTCTTGTGTCCCTCCGGCCTCTCTTACCTGGAACTTGAGAGCCTCGGGAAAGGCTCTGGGCTGTGTCAGGGTAGGACAGAGTAGGAATCACTTAGGAGAGCATTGTTTGAGTCGGGAGACAGCCCCATTACCCACCCCCACTTTAGCTTCTCAAGGTTTCAATGGGGTCCCCTTTGCCCCTGTGCAAACGGGTGGGCCCCCTTCCCTTTCCGGAGGCCTGGCCCCTGTCACTGTGAGCCCGCTTCCACCTGCAGGTGAAGGAAGACTGGAAGTACGTGGCCATGGTCATTGACAGGATATTCCTCTGGCTGTTTATCATCGTCTGCTTCCTGGGGACCGTGGGACTCTTTCTTCCCCCGTTCCTGGCTGGAATGATCTGATTTCACGTCCCTGGCTTTGGCCAAAAGGTGGCACTACTGACCCTCCCTGCTGCTGCCTCTAGAATCCACCTCTGGGTCAACACCATGTGACTGCAGGTGCCCCTCCCCAGAGTCCCTACACTGGCCCAGTCATCGAAGACTTCCTGACCCCATTGAGTTGGCAGGACTGTACTCGTGCTGAGCATCTACTAGGCGCAGAGCCTGGCTTTGGATGCCGAGGAGCAGGACAAGAGAGAACTTGCTCTGCAGAAGGTTATGATGCGGTGGGGACAATGTGAAGCAAATGAGATGCTCCTGAAGGAGCTATACAGATACTGAGTGACAGGAGGGTCAAGGGGTGAGGCCAGGAGAAGAGGAACAGAACGCAGACCTCAAAGGCTGGGTGCTTGAGGAAGAGAGGAGAGGGCGCCACGAGGGGCAGGGGCAGAAGGACTATCTGTAAGTCATGTTTTGGATTCAGGAATAAGCCTGAAGTGTTACAACAGCCAAGCTGAGGTGGGGCTCCAATGTGGGGAGCAGTGGCTGGCAGTTGGGAAGGTAGGTTGGGGTGTCTTTGAGCCAGGTGGAGAAAGGAGTTAGAGTCTGGGACCACAAATCTAACAGCAGAGTGTTAAAGGCTTTTGGGGAGGGGAGGAAAGGGCAGGCAGGCTACAGGTGGAGGGGAATTGCAGGGCAGACCCTCAGGCAGAGGAAGGGGGATTAGCACCCCATCCCACCTGCTGCAAACTCCCTCAGCACCAGCCTGCCCCTAGAGGTTTGGCAGTGTTGAGCATCCCTGCTACAGGGGTACCATCTGCCCTTCAATTCTTGTGGACAAACCACAAGGCCAGCCTGAGCCACTCTTGATCCGACTCAGGTTTGCAGCTTGCTCTCTCCCTCCTCCTCTACCAGGGGGCAAGTGGTGGTCAGCATTCAGGAGTGAGTGATTTGCTTTGGACCCCAGACTGCTATGTAAGTGCCAACACTGCAGGACCCAGGACTGCTTCCCTTCCCCGTCTGCCCTCCCGGTCCTTCCCAAAGCCCCATGATGTGTCTGACCTGCTCTGAATTGCCCTGTGCAGTCTGTTCTCAAACCTTGGAATCCAGCAATCTATGGCCCTCAGTTGTGGGGGGAGCCCAGAGAGTTCCAGCCAGGGAACCGGACGTTAGCCCCTGCCCCATCTAGTCCCACTTCCCCGGGGTAGAACCCCAGCAGCTAAAAGAACCCCAGACTGGGTTCTTGGGTCAGTCTGGGGACCCCAGACAGGAAGCTGAGCAGGGCAAGCTTCCAACTTCGCTTCGGTCTTTGGGGTCCTCTCCTTCCAAAGCCCCCACCCCAGCCTCTGTTCCGCAGCTCTCTGCCAAGACCCCCAGCCCCGTGGCCCATTCTGGTCTCTGGCCCCTCCCTGCTTCCATGCAAACAGTGCCCAGGCCTCGTCCTCCCTCCTGGCTCTCCCAGCCTGGATCTCCCGTGCACTGCTGTTCCCCTATGTTAGTCCACCTCCCATCCACCTTGCAAGTTTGTAGAGAGATCAAATAAAATCAAAGCTGTGGTTCATTTAGCTGTGGGGCCCCTTGCTAGCATCCGTAGGAGCACCAGAGGCCGCCCCCCACCCCCCACCAAGCGCCCTGGCTGTTTGGATGCCATGCCATTCGACTGACATTCCCCCTGTGGCTATGTCGGGGGCTGCCCTGAGCCTCCACTGGGAAACGTCCCTTTGGTCAGGTGCAAGGCAAAGGCGCTGGGCTCATAGCCGATCCCACTGGCCGGCATCACCAGGCACCTCTGCACTGAGCCCAAGCATCAACCCTTGGTCTATGCCCAGCTGAGAACAATCAGATTCTTCCAGGGCTGTGGCTGGAGCAGGTCAAACAAATAAAGCAATCAAACCACAAAGCAAATAGTATAATTTTAATTCATCCACAAGTCAAATAGAAAGAACGGAAAGTGTTCTGCACAAACACGAGAGAGAAGGAGGGAGGGAACTGATGAGAAAGGGGGAAAGAGAAGGAGAGGGGTAAGAAAAGAGGAAGAAAGAAGAGGGCAAAATAGGGAGAGAAGAAGTGGGAGCGAGGAAGAAAGGGGATTGTGATCCAAGTCCTATTTGACCTCGACTCCCCTTCTCCTCGATACTTGGCATGTTGACAACACAGTGTCCTGTGCCCAGTCTCCCAATAACTCGTTGCTGGACTGTGTCCCAGGTCCCCCCTCCAGGGGACACATGGCTGTCAGTCCAGACCAAACTCACATATTAAATAATTCTAATATACACTGTACAAGAAAGCCAGGACCATCCCTCACTCACCAACTGTCTACCCTGCAAAAGAAAGCCCCTCCCTGGCCCCTCTGCGTCTGTGAGCAGAAGAGCAAGAAGGGATAGCTTGTTCCCCAATGGCCCGCTGTGTCCATGCATAAAGCCATTGTGGCCTCTAGGGGCATCAGCGTGACTCCCCAACAGGCCAGGCAAGTAAGAGGAGGGAGTGGCCAGTGGCAGCTGTGTTCCCTCTGAGTCCTCTTTGTCACCCCCTGGATTCTACAGCCCTGAGTCCCCTCTGTCCTGCTGCAGCCTGAGCAGCCCCGTCCGGGGGGGTCGGGGGAGGGGGAGGGGGTCGTGCAAAGTGGCAAGGGAAGAACTCCCCTCGGCCTTCCCCCTGAGAAGACCCACGTGACCGAAGGCAAGGCAGGGGCCGGGGGCAAGGAAGGTATACAACAGGCGGGGGGTAGAAGACGCAGACAGGTGGCGCCCACCCTGTCACTCTACAGGCGGGTGAGCCAGGTTGGCCAGAACCTTGGCCTGGTCCACGGCATCAAGCAGGTTCTTGGCGTCCACAGCCAGGGTGTGGGAGGCTGTGAGCATCTGCCGCTTGCACTCCTCGCTCAGGGAGGTCACGGCATTTTGCTGGGCCAGTCGCATCTTATTGATGAGCTCTGCCAGGTCCTTGTTAAGCAGTTTCTGGGTCCCTTCAATCTGCAGGGAGAGTGCACAGGAGAGGTTGGGAACCTAAGCCACACAAGTGTCCACTTCGGCGTTGGCGGAGGTACTCAGAATCTCTCTGGGGCGCAAGTCAGACCCAGGCCAGGGCTGAGTCCCAGGCCCTGCAGGGGCTGGAGCCAAGTCACCAAGGACAGGCATTGCAGACATCCAGACCCCAGCCCACCCCACGCCAGCCCAGTCTGATCCAACACCACGGGCCCTCCCTTTATCACAACATCTTCTTGTGCTGGCCCCACATTCAAGTGGATGGTTGGGGGATCAAGTGCATTTATTCATCCGTGAGCTGTCGGCCATGAGGCAGAGAGCTCTGGGGCTGTGGGTTGAGCCGTAGGGTTTCGTTTGTGGCCATAGGCCCAGGGTTAGCGCACTTCTGAGCATGTACTCAGCACTCAGGGGTATTCAGCAGGTGAATGAATGATTGGGCCATCATGCCGAGGGTAAGGTGCTCTCATGTCAGACAGGACAGCCTGGCTGGGGCTCCTATGTGGGCTGCCACTGCCACCAAAAGGGATGCCGGGAACCCACCCCCTGCCCCAGCACTGTCCTGTCTTGAGCAGTCACAGGCAGTGGGGATTCGGTAATCACCTGTGCCACTCACCACAGGGAGATGCCCCATCAAACCACAGCCTGGCAGGGGCTGTGGGGTTTCCGGACAGATAACCAGCACGTGAGCAGAGGCACTGCATGAGTTTCCTATCGCTGCGGTGACCAAGTACCACAAACGCAGTGGCTTAAAACAACATACGTATCCTCCTACAGTTCTGGAGATCAGAGGCCTGGAATGGGTCCTGTGGGGCTATAGTCAAGGTGGCGGCAGGGCTGTGCCGCTTCTACAGGCTCTGGGGGAGAATCTGTCCCCTGCCTTTTCCTGCTTCTAAAGGCTGCCGCCTTCCTTGGCTTATGGATCCTTCCAGCCCAAGGAGACATCATTTTGCCTCTGCTTTTGTCACTACGCCTCCTTCTCTGACTCTTACAAGAACTCTGCTTCTGCCTCCCTCTGATAAGGACCCTTGTGACTACATTAGACCCCCATGGATGATCTGGTGTCCTCTCCCCATAGCAGGGCCCATAACTTAATCACATCTGCAAAGACCCCTTTGCCACATAAGGGTACATGGTCACAGGTGCTGGGGGCTAGCAGGGGCGCCTCTTTGAGGAGCCATCTGGCCCACCATGGCACCACCTCAATACCGAGCATGAGACTCCCATTTCAGTGTTTGGTGATTGTTTGTTTCTCTTAAATAAATAAAATTAGATTAAATGGTCAACAAATGACACCTTCACTGCTGTTTCTGTGACACACTCAGCTTGTCTTTAGCATGGGAGGGTGACTAGATAAAGGGTCCCAGGAGAGCCAAAAGGAAGGTGCATCTTCCTTTGTGTGCCCTTACACAGTAAGATGTCGCTGCAACTGTCTGAGACCTAAGCCAGGGAACTGGCCCTAGGAAGCTGGCCAGGTCCCTAGGTGCCCACTCAGCCCCTAGTGGCACCTGTGCAGATAAGCCATGCAGGGCCACCTGCTGCAGGTTCAGCAGGCAGGGATGAGACTGCCCAGGTGGCCCTGGTGAGCCCCCCGTGTGAAACACAGAGGGCAGGTGGAGGGGAAGGGGAGCCTGCGGCACCATCCGAGACAAGGACGCTCACCTCTGTCCGTGAAGACGACGGCAAGGAAGGCAGGATGTTGTCCACGCTCCCGATGAGCTTCCGCAGGGTCAGGCCCACATTCTGGGAGAGAAAGGGCGGGGTGACTGCGGCTTTTGCTTTTTGAGAAAGCCAAGTTTCCCTCAGGGAGAGCACCCCTGGTTGGAATCTGCCTGCCGGGGCTACCTGGGACTACAGGTCCTCTGACCACCTGGCCCTAATGGGGGTCTTCCTGGGAAAGACCCCCATTGGGCAGACCAGGAAGCTCAGCCCCTGCCACGTCCTTCCACGGCTGGGATGCGTAGCGTCCCCACCCTGCCCCGGCCCTGCCCCGGTCCTGCCCCGGCCCTGCCCCGGCCCTGCCCCAGCTCTGCCCCAGCTCTG